TGTAACTATGACAACAATGTCAGTATGTTATCTGCTGATATAGGTGGTTGCAATGGTATTACATGAATATATTTTACTATAGACCATTCTCAAAACTATGTTAAAAGTGAAGATGTTTTAGAAAATGAAGCAAGAAAGTGCAAAAGAATCACATGATTCCTTCACAGAAGTTGTGTCTAGTCTTCATATCTCCTTAAATTTCACATTCAAGATATCTTTGAAAGGGGTCCRCTCCATTAAGATGCAACAAGATTTACAGTTAGAGAAGTATTTTGATAGTCAGAGAAAAATTATAATCTTGAACGTTTGTGGAAACAAAGCATTAGGTTTTCTCTTATCCCTATCTATTCAATTGACTGTCACTCATCTCTTTATCTTTTCAGTTTCCACTGTCCATTTTAATTTCTCTTTCGCTCATGCAGTCTGTTTCCATTGGCTAGATTAAAGACCATTTGACGTTGTCTATGGCAAACATAAAACATCGCCCTCCCTCTATTAACTATGCATACAAGTAACATCAGTAAATTGACCAGTGAATTTTTTTTTAATTAGTAAAAAGGAATCTTGTATATCTCCTAGTAGTAGGTAAACAAGATATCATTTTTTGTCTTTGGTGAGAAGGTTTGCAAAAGGTAAAGTGAAATAAAGGCGGAAATATGAAAACGTGGTCACATTTGCTGTTTGTGGGAAGGAAAAACGGAAATATACTTCTTCTTGTTTTTTAGCAATCCCATCCAGTTCAAATGCACAAAATAAAGATAGGATTAAAATTAATTATTTTCTGGGAACAAGTAAAACACAGAATATTATTAAGCGAAAAGAATTGGAAATGGGTTACCTATATACATTTGAGTCGAAAATCCCTGGGTGAAATAAGGATTAAACCAGCAACATTCGCTACAGGAGAAACGATTTTTTTGATTCGCTAAAAAACAATAATTGTCCTCAATATCGTTGTGTGATCTTCAAAACCATGAGTTCCAGAGATAATTTGATTGACCCGTCAGCTCAACCAGTCTATTATTCAACTAATCACGTTCAAAGCCTCGACGAATCTCAACCATTTCGTCCCCAAAGACTGATGGATATCCCACCATCTTCTCCAAGTTTTGATCCCAAACAAGACGAACTACGCTTGTTCGAGCCCAGGAAAAGACTCGTAAATAAGAAAGGACGACTTCAAGCTATTGCCCAGAAAGTACCGAAGAAGGCTAAGCTTTATTTATCGGATGTTTTCACTACTTCAATAGACTTGAAGTGGCACTGGGTTATTCTTCTGTTTTGCTTGTCTTATATATTTTCATGGTTTTTCTTCGGTACTTTGTGGTGGTTTATCGTTCTTGGTAGAGGGAAAGACATATGTATAACAGAGGTATGTATGAATAGTTCAAAGGAATTACAAGGGGATTTGAATTTGATAACATGAAAGCAAAATCTGTGCCTTCAAACTAGCATGGCTCAAACCCTATTGTGGCCCAGGTCTTGCAAGAGGCTTCTATATATATCATAGTTGTATAAGCTATAAGTGAATAATTGAAAGAAAATAGGTAAAAAATATATCAATTTATTCAAAGCTTGAATTTGAATAAGTAATGAGAGTTTAGTTTATGAATATTTTAGCAGTGTTCATATACATGAATACGAATACTTACATTCAGAGCTTCCTTAAGGTGTTGGCACATGGTGCAACATTGCAAGCAACAAATTTGAATCGGAGTGACACATTGCAATGAAATCATGCAACATCGCTTGTGTCAGCCTGCTATGTTAAGATATTTGGTCAGCCATTATAAATTTGGTGCAAGCTGATTGGCTAGAAATTTCAAAATGTTGCAGGTAATATTGCAGCCATGTTCACATGATGAAATTTGTTGCAAGCAATGTTGGAAGAGTAGAGCATGATTCACTTTCAGATTTGTTGCATGCAACGTTGCGTTCTACAAGATTGGGGTACACACGCTGCAACAGTCCTGTTGCATGCAATGTTGCACACAATTTTTTGCACCATGTGTCAGCACTTAAGTTTTATTCATTATCAAATGGTCACCATTAGCCATACATGGAACATACATGCACTTGCTCAAGAAAACCATTCAAATCCTCTCTAATTATAGGTTTTTACTTTAAGCTTTTCTTTATCATTTTCTAGGTCAAAAGCTGGACATCTG